ATGCTCTTCCTGTTGCTTGCGTAACAAGAAACGCCGAGGGGGTACGAGCTTCTCATGCTTTACCCCCCTTCCTGCCCCCTCTTCTTGCAATACATATTCGCACCCCCCCCCACCTCCTACCCGCTCCACGCAATCCGCTTAGCAGCCATTTTGGTCCTTATGAAAAACGATGCGTTGCGGCCGCTGCTGGTTACGTAAGCGCGCCGTGGGATTCGCCGTCGCCGCCGCCTGGATGAGCGCGGGCGGCCGATGCTGCTTGATGCTGCGTGCCCGTGAGGCGCCGTCGGCCTGACCACGGGCGCGGGTCGGGGCGAAGACGACCCCTGCGATGACGATGGAAGGCTGGCATCCCGGAGCAGGGCGGGAGTGCATTACGCCGGCCGGTAAGTGCGAGAATCCCGTGCGGCGGGTATCCCGGCAACATTATTGCTATGGTGTGGCACTCCCCGGTGAGTAGAGCCTTCCCCGCCCCGGCTCTCCCCGCCCCTCCCCCCGCCTCCCTCCCACCCGGAGCGAGGAGTCAAAAGCCCTTCGCTCTCGCCCGCCGCTCACTAGTAGACTGGTGGCTCTCGCTCGGTTGTGTGGTCGCGCTGCGCTTGGTCTGACGCATCTGTGTCTGAGCGCTCGCCCGCCCCTGACGTGGGACTTCCCTGCTGTCGTCTTCGTTGAGGATTTTTGCTAAGAAGTGGATTTGTTAGTGTGCGCGAACCGATCCCATTCGGAAGGAAGACAAGAGATAAACGCTGTATTGAAATAGAGGCATAGACTGGTTGAGAAACGCGTGCTTCGATGAGAGATCGCCGTCGGATCGAGGTGATGAGAAGGCTGCTCGAGCCTGGGATGTGGGATGTGCAGTACTCGGGCCGGGAACCGATTCTGGGAAAGACATGGCCGACCGTGAAGAGGACCTGCACTGAGACGTAAGTTGGGCGCCCTTCCGTTTTTAGGTGGGATCTAATATTTTTGGTGTTAGCCGTGCTTTGGGCCCTTTGGCGGGACTGTTATTTTGATTTCATTTTATTTATTTATTTATTGAAGGTAAAAGATGCATTGGAGTGTTGTTGGCGATTATTTGAATGCAATGTGTCCGAATAACGTGATTGTATTTCCGATAGTTATTATTACCCATCTGTTAGCTTGTCACCAATCATTTCTAACCTGCCACCTTTACCTCAAAAAAAGATATAAGCAAACGGTCTTTCATCACCCACTTCCACAGAGGACCAAGGAATGCGATATGGAACTTCCTTCTTTGTACCTTTCTTCTTCCCCCTTTGCCTGTACCCTTTTCTCTTGATTTTCCCTCTCGAATCTTTCTTCACCCTCCCTTTCATCAACCGTTCTCGTACCTTTTCCATTTCCTTCTCCACCACTCACCTGTTGTAGCGAGGTGAGCCTGCGGTGGGGCGGTGCGAGGGGTTTTATATATCAGTCTACGTGTTGGTTTCAAGGTCCTCAAGGGGGGGGGGGGGGAGGCTATCAGATGGGAAATCCGGCATTTTGAAATCTGCCTGTGTGGTTGTGGGGGTTTGATCAGCGCCCCATGCCGTCGTGGTGGTGGTAGAGGTTGTTATTTTGTTATTAAACACCTTTGGGTATTTGGGTACTTTTTTTGGGGGGGTGGGTGGGTGGGAGAGGGGTATGGGAATGGTATTGGTTATTGGTGTGATTTCTATTTCGAATGTTTATCTGGAGATTGCTTTTGGTACGTTTTGTATTTATAGAAAAATTATATGAATATTTCCGTGTGTTACTACGGAGAGATTATTATTATTATATTATTATTATTATTATTATTATATATTATTTATTATATTATTATTATTATTATTGTTATTGTTATTACTGTTACACTTAGTATTACTGTTGCTATTACTATTTTTATGATTTTAAATTATGCATATTACTGTAATAATTGTAAATATTGCTATTCTTGTTGCTCTGCTGTTACCATTTTTCCGCATCATCACCATAACCATCTTTAGTAGTATTTTCATTATTGTTATTATTACTATCATCATCATCATCAATCATCATCATCATCATCATCATCATCATCATGTTATTATTTGTTTAAATGATAGTTATAATTATTACTATTATAATAAGAATGATTATTATTAGTATTATTATTATTGATTGTCTGATATTGTAAATATAATTGTAATTGTTATTACCATTCCCTTGATTAATGTTATTAATTATTAATAGGGTCAGGGAAAATATTAATATCAATATCCTTTCTCTCTCTCTCTCTCTCTCTCTCTCTCTCTCTCTCTCTCTCTCTCTCTCTCTCTCTCTCTCTCTCTCTCTCTCTCTCTCTCTCTCTCTCTCTCTCTCTCTGTGGGGGGGGGTACAATTTCTGCATCTGGTACAGCACAAACCAGTCTGTTCATTGTGGGTTTTCTACCATGCATGTGTTACAGCAGAGTAACGCATAGACACTAAAGCGACAGGACAGTGCAGAATACCCTAACACTTGTTAGCACAAAAATTACATTCGGGTTGCAAAACTTTTTTAAATACCTTTTTTCCCCTTCCTCTCGGGACTGGTTTTCTGAATACCAAATCAGGCCACCTGGACGCTGTGCAAAAATATATCTTACTAAACGCTACATTGTTCATTCTGCTGATGATTTTAGGCTATGTACATTGAATCCTCGTTAAGTTTATATCTACACTTCCATAAGTATACCTTACTATCAGCTGTTGAATGTTATCTAATCTGGAAGGGGTCGAGGAGTGTGTCATTCGACTGGCGACCTCGAATGAAATACACGAGTGAGTTGAGCTGTGTCTTAAGCTGCCGTGTATCATTTTCTGTGTCTCTGTTGTGCCTATGCGGTCAACTTTTTCGAGCTCTCAAAGGGCGGGTGTGGCTCCCCAGGCTCTATTTTCCATGCGTCTGTTGTGGTGGATAAGACAATGAGGATAGTCTGCGGTTGCCCTGTGTCCCTAATTGCCGTTGTCTTGAGAAAAGGACTCGGGCGTTACTTAAGAGTCTCGCGTCGCGTTGGCCAAAATGCGCAACCGTATTAGGCTCAAGCTCAGTGCGACCGAGGCGAGCCCACTTTGATAAATGAGAGGAGGCCTTGAGCCAGCGTTGCCAGACTGGTAGACAAGCCCAAGGCACCTTCTTATTCTTAGATTCTGTAGGTGGAACGCGAGGGGCGTCTGAACGGAGAAGTCATGCTTGCGTTTAATAAGGCCTGGACATTCCATGCTTAAATTTCACTGGTATGTTAGAGGGTTTATTCGGAGGGACAGGATGTGCCGTCCTTGTGTATGACGATGACCCTCACTCACATGATAAACTAGGGGCTGGCTGTTCCGCTTCCTTGCTTGTGTTCTGAGGAAGAGGGTGCGGATATATGACTCGACAGGGACGATAATGCTCTGGCAGTTCTTTAATTTACTGACCAGGAAAGTTTGCACTGAGCTGCACTACCCGAGGATTTCTTGCCTCCAGTCATGAGAATCTTGAAAATGTAGATATCCTCCTGAAGAAAATAACTTTCCCTTCAGCAGGATGTGAACGCACTTTTACTCATGCTTAGGTTTCGGCGTCGAAAATTGTTTCTACCGGCTGGTTTGTTAAAAGTATGCGAGGCTTGACCCAACGAGCATTCATTAGACGGACATGCTTATACACAGAAATAAATACATATATATCAGTCTATACGTGCATATCTACCACATAAATAGATCGATAAATGTGTATTTATCATGTATACGTATATTTGCATTTATTTCTTTATGTATGCATGTCCTTGTATATGATTATGTATTGCGTCGGGCCTCGCACATTTTTAATAAACTGGCCGTATATCTGAAGAAGAAAATCAGTCAAAATGCTCAGTAAGTTATAAACCTTAGTATATGATAAAGAAAAAAAAAAAAGCTGAGGTTGTAGATATATCGGATTATATCCATCTGACATTGGACAGTGTAGATATCCCAGAGCTTCATAGCGTATACTGACTGAACCTGTTGGCCGCAGATTATGTTGAAATTGCACTTGGGATTATTGATGGACTGCATGGAACAGGACGCACCTTTGAGATAGGAAATCCCTTCCCGCAGCGCTGCAGACGGGGAAACTGACCTAAATTACGTATCCTTGATCGCCGTTTCTTGGGGGGGGGGGGGGGTATCTCCCATAGAGAGTCTTTTCGGAAGGATATTATTGTAGAAAATATAATTTAAACTATTATTCGCTTGGGGTCTTGTAATTGGAAAGGTGATGGGGAACAACTGCACAAAGTTCAGTATGTATATATATATATATATATATATATATATATATATATATATATATAAAATTTATTTATTTATTTATTTATTTATAATATTACATATACGGATGGATAGATGTATCTATGTAAGTACGAAGGCGCATTGTTATACTAGGCGCAATATTGTTCGTTGGTTATTACATCACCAACGATTAGTTCATGACAGAGTAATATTTCAAAACTTTTTAATGCTGTCAGTTAATAAACATTGAGTTTCCTTAATGGAATTCCGTTTTGGCCAAAATTGCACCATGTTTGCCAACGTACGTTTTATACTCAATGACATGCAGTATAACCTATGGCATCATGTTGCGGAAGGCATAATCTTCATGCTTGAACTTGTAGAAACTGTTCACTTAAGAATATTTGACATGCATCTGACTGTTCGTATATCGCATAGCGTCGTTTCGGTTTGAATACGTAAGCATTCCACATCACCATGGACTAAGCCAGAGATGTTACCTGAGCTATTTCGCCGCAGCGCTGACTTTATTAATCACAAAATAACCCGAAATCGTAAAGAAAAATTGCCTACATGACGTATAAAATCCCAGACAATTAACCAACTCCCTAACTCCATACAATGTAGACCTGCGCTCCCCCACCCGCCCGCTCCCCCCTACCTCACCTGACCCCCCACCCGAATTGAGCGGAGTCGAAGCCGCGGCCGAGGGGGTGAGGCGAGGGCTCGGGACGCGGCGGCGGGCGGGGGCGGAGCGGTGCGCAACGCGATGCTCAGTCGTTCCCGCCATTGTCGAGCTGGAGTGGCGGAGGGAGCGGGCCAGCGAGCGAGAGGGAGACATTTCGGAGATGAGGCGATTACTCCACGTTATTTAGGAGCTTGTTTCTGCTTCCTTTTATTTTTAAGTTGAGGTGAGGTGGTGGTTTTTGTTCTTTGGGAGGGGTCGGGGGTGGATATGTGGGGGATTTAGGGTCGGAGGAATGTGGAGGGATTTTTGTTGTTGTTCCCCGTCGGGCGGTCGGGGTGGACGAGTGGCGAGTGTGTGATACATGCGTGGACTCGGAGGTCGTGGGCCTCGGTTTTGGCGTTGGGAGAAGCCTCTTGGGGCCATCGGGAAGTGGGATAGGGTAGGTAGCATGATATTTTGGGGTTTAGAAGCGCATGGAAGTGGGGGATTGCGAGGAAAATGGCGAAATAAGCGAGGCGACTTCGGTGGTCTTGGAAGGAATATTCGGGGGAGAAAAGCGATCAGATGATGCGCTGTTGCCACGTCTCGGGGGGGAAGAGTTCGTTCGTCTTTTGGGATATTTACACTCATTTCTGTATTTATTTTTGGGTTCAAATATTTTTTTTTATCTATGCAAGGAGAATTGTTATGAATGCATTCTTGAAGTTGAGATTGATATTTGTGGAATAGGGCAAGTTTTATAGGAATTCTTTTTATTTAACGGTCGGATAGGCCTATGCAGCTTGTCCCGAGGAATTTATTTTTAGTTTCGCACGGTTTTGTTTGCTTCAAGTTTAGAAGTCCCAGATAAGTCTGAGAAAGGTCTATTGTAAAGTTTCGTGTTTATAATCCCAGTTTTGTTATCAGTACAGTACTTCTCTGTAAGTTACTCGTTGTCATTTAATCAGGCTAAGACAGTATCGTCCGTTTGTTTGAAAGGACTCAGGATGCTCTCACTTTCTAAGAAATATTGGTTAGTGATAGTGCTAATACCGAAGAAAACAGATATTTATCTAATTTAGGTTTATTTCAATGTGGAAGAGACAGTGGTGGTGTTATGTTAAAGATTGTGTTGATAAATCTCATGTGAGATTAGTAATTATATTCTTTACCATATCTTTTTCTGTTGAGCTCATTGGAAGTTTTTATTCATAGGAGGTAAGCTATGAGTAGACCAAAATAAAGAGAAAAAAGCTATGAACTTGCAAGACATCTTCAGAAATTTTTCAGCTCATGACGTTTTTTCTCCTTTCTTTGCAGGATTTTGAGAGAGCAAGTGAGAGATTTGGTGCTATTGGGGGAGAATAAGTGAAGGGAAAATACATCTGTCCTAAACCCAACCTGCCTGCCGGACAGACATGGCTCCCCGCAAAGGAGCAACCGCCAACAAGGGAGGCTCAAAAGCCGCTCCCAAGAAGCGTGTGGCAGCAAACGGCTTCAAGCTGCCTGACCCCATTGCCCCTGGGGTTGTCGTAACAGACATTGCCAAGAAGAACTGGAGAATTGGTAATAGTATCGGTGAGTGGACAAGTTTTATTTCCGTCTCGCGATGTTGATCGGTTTACATGAATTCCCATTCTATATGTTTGTTCTGTGTAGGATATCAAGTTTTAACATCCGTGAATGGGTCTTCTTGCAGGTGTGGGTGGCTTTGGAGAGATCTACTTGGCTTCCAATGAAATTGACAGACCTGTAGATGATTCAGCTGAATATGTCATCAAAGTGGAGCCCCACAGCAATGGCCCACTTTTTGCAGAGATGCACTGCTACATGCGTGTAGCGAAGCCAGAGCACATCGAAACCTGGAAGAAGGAGAAGAAGCTGAAGCGCTTGGGCATGCCAAAGTACCTGGGATCAGGCTCGTTTGAATACACTGGCCAGAAGTACAGATTCATGGTCATGGAGAGATTTGGCATGGACTTGCAGAAAATCTTGGAAAGGCACAGCAAGAGATTCTCCTTCAAGACTGTCTTTCAAGTGGGCATTCAAATCGTAAGTATAAATTCAATCAAGCAAGTAGAAGTCTTTATTAGTGTCTATATATGTGTTTGTGTCTTTGATTAATGACCTGTGCTCATCATTTAATCTTCTTATTTTCTAGTTGGATGTGCTAGAATACATCCATAGCAAGGAGTACATCCATGCTGACATCAAGGCATCCAACCTGCTGATCGGACACCAGCCGGGCACAGAACACCAAGTATTCCTAGTTGACTTTGGCCTGGCCTGTCGTTATGCCAACGATGGGAAGCACAAAGAATACAAGTTCGATCAGAGGAAAGCCCATGATGGCACCATAGAATTTACCTCACGGGATGCCCACATTGGTGGTAAGTGGATGTTGTAAAGACTCTTAATATGACAGGCTATGGAAAAGTTTGTTTCAATGATAACATATTTGATACAGATAAATTTTATTAAATATTGATATTCTTATTTACATTCTTGTTGCAGCTCACTCTCGACGAGGAGACCTAGAGATCCTTGGCTACAACATGACACAGTGGCTTTGCTCACGACTACCCTGGGAAGATAAGTTACAGGATTGCAATTATGTTGCTAATCAGAAGAGAGGCTACATGGAGAAATTGGATACATTTATGACACAGTGTTTCCCAGAAACCCAACCTCCAGGTAAGAGTTGAAAGAAATCACTTTGGTGAGATTTGACATTTTGGATTTAGCATCAAGTCTAGTTTTATGCTTAACGTAAGCCTAATTTATTCTTCTCTCTCATTTGAAGGTCTGAAAGAGTATTTGGAGTACGTAGTCAACCTGGCTTTTGACGAGAAGCCCGATTACGAGAAGTGCCGGAACATCCTCCGTGAGGGCTTAAAGGCCAAGGGCTACCGGGATGACGGGAAGCTGGTGTTTATGTCAGCAACACCAGTGCCTGTGTCACGTAAACCCAAGTCACGTCTCGACCGTAAGGTAAGAAAGCGACATATTAAAGACATGTCGGAAGATGAAGAAGAGCAGGAGGATGAGGAAGAACTGTCAGAAAAGAAACCCAAGAAGAGTGGTGCTAAGAGAGCTAGAGGTGCTAGTAAGAGGGGTAGGGGTGCTGCTAGCCGCAGTGGTAGTAGCACGAGGGAGTCATCCCCTGTGTCAGAGAAAGAGAACACGAGTAAGAAAGCCAACGTTCGTGTTGGAGTACGGGGCAGGGGTAGGAGTGGTTCTAGGGGAAGGGGCAGGGGAGCTGCTAAGGATGTCCCTGATACATCAAAGTATGCAGGCATTAGCAACCCTACCCCTCAGATGCTTGCTCTTATGAGTAAGAAGCGTTAGATACATTCCATAAGTGCCTGATGATGGTGGTGATACCATGGTGCCAATTTTATTATTTTTATGATGAATTTTGGCTAGTGAAGTAACTTGGAAACCAGAAATCGTGTTCAGTCATTTTATGTTATTTTTATACACTCCATTCTCATGTAATTGCATCTATTTCCTTACGTAGCAGTATCTTGTATTGCATTTCATTGCTAGAGAAGCTTTGTTTAGTTATTTTGTATGTCCAGATCAAGAAACTGAGATTGGTGTAGAGATGATGATCAATAAAGGAATTTCGAGAACTTGGTATTTCTTCTGCATCCTTAGACAGCAAAGATTTTCATGGGTGTTGGCCTATTTTTGTTTATTCTCTATGTATTTATTTTCTTTTGGTCATTTGTGTGTGTTTGTTTCCTGTACTGTTTTCATTGAGCTATATGATTGAAGTTAATTATTGTTTGTTGCTGATGTGTTGCATGTGTGACATTCTTAGAAATTGCTAACCCCCATGGAAATTTTTGCTTTCTAGAAAACCACGAAGCGGCGTTCAGAGGAGGAAGAAAATATATCAGACTTCACTCCCAAGAAGATGATGAGGGCATCTAATATCTCTCCATGTAGACCAAGGAATAAGAGGTATGCCAAACTTCAGCATGTTTTCTGTATGTTAATTTTGGTAATTGTATTTGCAAATTGGGAGTGAATGTAACAGTTGCCTTTAAGGGAAAGAAAATTGAAGTTCTTAGAAAGTTAATGATTATTTGTTACTTTCTTCTTTCTGATAATCCTACATGTTGATTGGTCTTTCTCCTTGCAGGGTTAATACAAGAACTTGCCCCAGAAATTCCTTAATAGGTATCAGTCTGAGCAAGCCCAATCAGCCAGAGTTTGCCTACATAGACCCCGAGGACGTGATGATTGAGAAGGAAAATCAAAAGATGGCTGAGCGCAAAATGAAACAGAGACCCAAGAGATTAGGCATTGTTCGGGACACATCCCTTGACAATCCTACTCCACAGATGATTGAAATCATGAACAAGATCAGAGAGAAGTCAGCATCTCCGCCAGTTTGCCAAAAACGTCATAGACACAATAGGTGAGTTTCAGAAATTATTATTTATTATTATTATTATTATTTTTTTTTTTTTCCACAAAAGTTCTGTGTATCTTGCTTATTTAGTTATATTTGCTATAAGGGCTTCCTTTTTTTTTTCTAATAATTTCTTTTCATATAGCTTAAAATGTTACCATATTTTGGAAAAAGTGGTTAACTAATTTTTGTTTTACAGCAACTGCTATAGCAACAGAAGCAGCCCCACAGGGGAAGAACCCCCAACACAGTTCACCCCAGAGATGGAAGCTGTGATGCGGAGACGTGCAGAGCGCCTGTCATCCACCTCAGACTGCGAAACCTATTGTTATTCTAGTTCCTCATCAGATGTTGGCTCGCCACAAATGTTTGATTCCTCGGAGAATGAGGACTCAAATGATGCCACCATCTATTACTCTCCAACGGCCCCCTCTCCCCCCTTTATGGCTCCTCAAAATAATAATACAGTTAAAAAGGGTAAGTGTTGCCTCTAAGCAAGAGCTGGTAGATGGTCTTGTTCTTGTATTTTATTTTTCTGACTTTTTCTTCCTTTCTTCTATTAGTGGATAAGTTTGTCTGTTATTGGTTTTTATGGTGGTATTGCAAAGATGGTAAGTTAATTTTGGTAATCATAAAAGGACGGTGTAAACAGGGCATCAGTCCATTTTCATTGGTTTGTCTTACCATTATCTGTTGTTTATTAGTATCTTCTTACCCATGGGTTATATTTTAAGCATCTGACACTGACACAAACAAAGAGTGATCAGGTTGTTGGTAAATTCAACATGACATGGATAATTCAATGTCATTATGAATTTAATGATATTGAGTTTTCTGTGTTATATTGTTTTTCTGCCCTGTTCCTACTCGACACACAACACTTAGGATGATCAAACATTTTCTTTTAGGTCCTGTATGTTGGAGAGAAGCTGTATTGTTGCATATTTAAAGATGAAAATGAAAGCATGAGAGTTTTTTTGGTTATTGATTTGTTTTTTCTAGTTAATTTTGGAATGATTTTCACAAAGCCATTTTATTGCATTGAACATACACATTTTTTTGCCTTCTTTCCTTTCTTATTGAAGAGTTTATTTTGTAAAAACTGCATTTCATTTTCAAATGTTAAGGTCATATATGAAATGAAGTGTTCTTTATCTCTGTTAATTTTCAACAAATTAAATCCAGTATTCATTATTACATCACAAATGAAAATTATAAGGTATTGCTGTTTGAAGGATTGATTTCAAAGATTTAAAGACTTATATTCATTTATCAAGAAAGGAAATGAAGGCAACTGAACTCTGCATTTCATATTCCAAAGATAATTCCTTTGGAAGGGAAATGCTGATTTTAAGATCATCCCTGACAGGCGTGAAACGCTGTTGGGTCTCCTACGCATGGAGCTGCGTGTCCACAGTCCTGTCAACATACGCCATTGTCACCAGGTCCAGGCTGGCTGTCAAATCATTGGCTTAGAGCAAATAAAACAGATTTCAGAATATTTGTATGAATAGTTTCAAAATGCATTATGTATGCATTTCTCATGAGATGTGTTTTTCAGTACAGTGTTTAGCACTAAGATATTCACAGTATTGTGTCAGGAAAATATCTATTTGTCATGGTCATGTTGCTAGAAAAAAAACAGTAGACCAAATCTCTCACTTGCTCTCTCGTCATTGGTGCCTTAAGATTGTTTGTGTGTGTGTGTGTGTGTGTATGGGGGGGGGGGGTGCAAGATATATGCCATGGGTATGTTCAAGTGCTTTGTATCTGTCTTGTCACACAGGTTTGAATGTTACAGATAGCTTTAAAAATGTACAAGTATATGTTTTGTCATCTTTGAGATAGGCTTTATAGTAGTTAGAGTAGCATTTCTCCTATGTTGTATTTTTCAGTGTATATTTCTTTCTTTCTTTCCCCTGTTGAAATGCATACTTCTATATATTTTTAAAGATTTGAGGCATATATATAAATATATATGTATATATATTTATGTATACACATGCATCAACCTGTTGGATCCAGATACCTTGTGACCCACATGTGGAACAGAATCCATACATCACTTGAGGAGGTGTATGGCTTGTAGGGTTGGTTCACATAAAAACTTATCTGCTGTAATAGGACTCGTTGCCTCCCCTGCTTAAACTTTTTTTTACCCTCCTATTTTCCTAGTTCTATAATTTTCATTTGTAATGCTGTTTGAATATGGGAAATAGCAATACACTAGCCACTATAGAGGTGAAAACCGTAGATGGCCCCAGCCAAAGTTTTCACTCCATTAGTCACGTCACCTGGATCCAATGAGTTAAGAAGAGCATTGGTTTATTTTGTTTAAATTTATAAAGATTATTGCCAAGCAATAAGTAGGTTATTGCAGTATGTAATACTGTAATATTAGAATTTACTTTTATATATTTACCTGAAAGGTTTGATGAATATTTGGATAATTTTAGTCATAATTCAAGACCTCATAGGTTAAGGAAATCTCTATACATATCTACTGTACTGTACACATAGTTTGTTTATGTAAGGTTTATGAGAATATGAATAACAATTATTATTATTTGGATGTTGTAACTAATACTGATGTGCATTCAGGTTACAAAAAATTCAGTAACAGTAATTTTCAAAAGGTTTTCCCATATGTGAAATGAAAAATGTTATCTTCATTAACTTGGGAACCATATTAACACTACCTAGCTGCTAAACTGCTCAGGATTTCTGATTAGTAGCCTTGCACAGTATTTGTTGTTACAAGGCAAATAATTATCAGGTAACACTTAAGTAGAAAGTAGAATATCATATAGTATTATCTACTAAATTAAGTCAAAGTTCAACTATATTTTGCTGTAGCTTGAGATTTTTAAATATAGATCTCTATAGATTTAGGCATTCAATGCAAAACCTATTAACATTACTGATTTCAATTTCAATCATATAAAGGACACACCAGACGTCAACGAACAGGTCTATACGTCTCACCGAGAGAAGTTGCACAGCTCCTGAGTAGTGCGCGTGTAGAGTTACGGACAATTGCAACTCAGACATCTCCAGGCGTGAGAGTGACCCGCAGCATATCTAGACAGACATCACCTGAGATATTCTAAGTGCAGTGTTAATTGCTTTTGTGAAGAAAAGAGAAAATAATTAGTCAGCAATATACTTTGGTGATCAAACAGTGGATTTACTGGTGCTCACATTAGAAAAGATGTATTGAAAATTTTATTGTGTACATACACTATGTACCTCAAAGATACTGTGACGAGGTTTAATAGTTGAATTTGAAAAATATAAGTGAAGTGGAAAATAACTTGTTACTGTTTCATTTGGAAAAGTGAGAAAGAACTCAAGGTGATATATAAATATATATTATACATATATAGATACTTACTATTTTTGTTTTAATCCTTCAAAAGGGCTAATTTTCTTTTGAGGAAATGCCAAACCTCAGGAGTGTGAGACATGGTTGTAAGCTAGTGAAACTGTTGTGAACATTTAGAAAGAAATTTTATTCCAGTTGTATTTCTGCTAGAAACCATGAGGACCAGACTGTTGTGCACAGTGACAAAATCCATTGAACTCTTGTAGTGACCAGTTGTGTAAATACATATATTTTTTTTTTCTCTACCTTTCTCGAATATGGCCAATTGTCCAGTCATTCAAAGAAATCATGTTTCTCCTATGGCCATCATTTTCATTTCATCCCAAGCTTAAATGTTTTCAATCTCTAAATTATTTCATGTCATATTCCATTCTCATTTATGCTTTTATATTGTAAAATTGAAAATACTGCTTAATAAAATGAGTTTTTCATATTTTAAAGGTTCTTTTGCAAACCAGTATATTTATATATGCAAAAAATAAAAGAATATGGATTTAGTTTGTGTGCCTTATTAGCTCACAATTTTTTATGATTTTGGCAATAAATTTACTACATCAAGGGATCCAGTACAGTTCAAAATAAATTAAATATCACATGTGTATGTATTCAACCAAACTTTGAAGTTGTAGAGAAAATCTTTTAGGCCAAGGCTGTGATATCTCTAAAATAATATATATAAAAAAATACAAGGATTAATAGGTTCCTTGCCATTGGCTTTTCAGACATTCTAAAGAGCAGGTCCTGTGTTCTTTTTTTAAACTGAAGTTTTCTTGTGGCATTATAGTGCAAATGTTTTTTTTTTTTTTTTTTTTTTTTTTTTTTCTTTCAAGTTTTGTTGTCTTCTCTGATATGATTTTTTTACCCATATGAAAATGACCTTGTTAAGCATACTATATGGAATCAGTAGTACCTGTTCTGGTTGTGTAATAAAGTTGAAGTAGATTTTTCTTAAATTCCTGTGGTTCTGAACTTCATTGGCTGAAGATGTTCCATTATCTGCCAAGGGAGACTCCTATGTAGACTGAAAATCACCAGTAGTTACAATTTGCTTTGAAGGCATTATTAGTATCATTAAGTATTCATGAATAATTCTGCTTATAGCTACTGCAGCTTTAATTAAAAGAAAAATAGTCAATTGAAACAAAAGTCACCAGGAACTATTGTTCTGAAAATTGTATCTTCCACCATCCAGACTAGTGACTTTCAGATTACAGAATGGGGCTCCTTTGTATTTTTTGCACACCAGCTTTGTATAATGAAATAAAAATGAAAGTCAGTGTGAATTAGTCATACGGTTTAGCCACTTTGCCTTTTATTTATTTTTATTTTTTTGGAAAAAATTACTACTATTGATTGCATGTTATATCTTTTCTTTTTTTCCATGGTATGACAATAGTGTGAGTAATTGTTAATTCCCTGGTTTTATTAGGTTTTGTTTACCAATGGAATTTGTAGTTACTATACTTGCCAAATGGATTTCCTTTTTTGGCCCTTACTTCAGGATCTCATGGTTCATGTTGTTTTTTGCTCAAAGCTTCGGCTCTTTACTCAGTCAGTACTGGTTTATTCCATTGTACAGTGTACATTTTTTTGAAAAATAAAGTGTTTTGATTATTGGCTTTCTTCATAACTTTTTATTTCTAAATTATGGATCCATGTCACCCCAATCACAAACCTTTGCTTTTTATATAACGGAGTTTAAAATATAAATGAGTTGTATCACATCAAGAAATACTGGAAGGTAACAATATTATTTAATAGTAAATCTACATATTTTCACTGGAAAGATTATACTGCTTAGCAAAATCAAATATACATAGCACAATACTTGTCTAAAAATATAATGAAAGCCTAAAGAACGGTAAATAATAATGTAGTGAAATTGTGTTTCAGAATCCATGCAGTAAACCCAAAAGATACAAACTAAATTAAAACTTCCTTAGTAACAACATGGAAAACAGTTGTTGCCCTATCATAAACAGCACAACAAAAAAGGTTGTGATGTAATAAACCTAACAGTAAAATGACAATAAGATGAAAAGTAAAAGTAAAGCAAAAAAATATTAATGAGATCATTGACTAAAATATAAAAAGTGATGATCCAAGGACGGAAAGTGATATATTTTACTACCAACATAACATTGGCCGTACATTTCCTGGCATGGAGATCATAAGCTCTTCCAGTATCTGAAAACTATACTACAAACTATCCAAGTTTTATCATCCCAAAACTTGTGTAGTGGAAATCAAAAGAGCTGTGAAGATGGATAAATATATTTCACTTCCAGCAATATAGTTGACATATGTCAAGTAACATATGCTAATTGTCAACTAATTTTTGATATTTTTGCCACAATACTTTGTCATGATGCTGTGTGACCTTTCCTTACCTGTAGGCTTTGCCCCCAAGCCTCGCCCTATTGCTTTATTTTGTATACTCCACTAATGACCTTAGAGGTTGATGCTGCAGAAATTTTTCAATAAGTAAATAAATCTTGTGAGTAGTGAATTAAAAATCATTAATGGTATTCAAAAAGGCTTGATGGAAAAAGGTAAAATGTCTCAGTGTTTTAGAAGGAAGAAAGTAACCATTCCTCCATACAAACAATGTTAGCCTGTACATACTGACAAAAGCTGGAAATAAGTAATTTTCAAGTAATTAAGAAGACTGCAAATACTGCATACAATAAACAATCACTAATCATTCTTTTTTCTTCATTTTCTGGACATGCCTTATCTTTGTACAGTATTATAAAAAAAAAGGAGTTGTATTGTGGTAAACTTTCAATGGCTAAATATGTTGTTCTAAACTAAAATCCAGTAACCTTTCTTAATAATATCATTATTATTAGGTTTCTTATGGCATGCAGTGAAGCTAAATACCCAATACTTGATAGTTTCAACTAGCAAGATTCCTCAAACAGAAAAAAATTCTTTGCAGCTTCAAATTTTTTATCCAAGTATGCTGAACTATTTTCCAGTTAGCACTAAGTATTCATACTTGAAAGTTACAGGCAAAATTAATGTAAAATAAAGGATATAAAATATCCAATCCCATAAAATACTTTCTCTTTGGTGTAAAGGTAAGCTTAACATCTTGTCCTTAACAAGTGCACGTAAATAATTTGACCTGACCTTTACACATGGTAGGTAGCTACCTTGCTCTCATAAATAACATAACACTAAATTTCCATTGACCAAATGCCACCCTGCTTACCCGAAGAACCCCAAATGAAAAAATCAACAGACTTCACTTCATTACCAGTGGATATTTACCACTCCATGTTCTCCATACAGTACCATATAAAACAGATAATTACCTTTATAAAACCTACCATATAAAAGCAAAGGCACTGAAGGCACATTTCAGCCCTAAAGCAATCCAGTCCAGCTTTGTGTAGGAACTAAAGGACAGGAGTGAAGGGTTTCCTACACTGTCTGCATCACTGATCTACGCTGCTGCCTGAGGAAGACTCTCATGACAGTTAATCTCTTGTGAAGTTCCTTGGTGATGAAAATCTTTGTTAGTTTTCTGACACACATAGCAAACAAAATGCAATTACTAAATTTACAGTGTCTGCTAAGTAATACAACTGACTTTCTTCTAAAAGTTATTTGCACATCTATTATGTAAGACTAACTGCTTTTGTAAACAAACTCCTTTGGGGATTACTCTTCCAAAACTAAAGTTTTGGAAAAAAAAAATCCCCAAAGAAATCTGAAACAAAAATATTGTTTGAGATATTACCCAATCCTTTAGACATGCATATCTTTGTGATTAAAATAAGACCACAAATCTGTTAAACCTATTTGAAGATATGGAAACAGACCAATACAGATATGTATTAGTTTATTGATACTTTAACAGTGACCTCTGATAATATCAAAATAATAGTTGAATTATACTGCCTCTCAAGAAGCAAGAGAAGATTAAAAAGTAGTATATATAACAGTAATAAAGATGAAAAGATGCTCCTACTATTTATTTTCATAATAATAATAATTACAATATAATAGAATTATAAAAGTAATAAGGTTAAAAATGAAATATTTGATGATCTTGTCTAAGTTATAGAATAATCAAATTCAAGTAACTGTTGGAATTAAGAATGCAGCCTTTTGATGCCCCAGTCATTTCCTACTTATTACCCGGTAATAACATTTGAATGCTCATATGCATATGCCCGTGAGAAATTGGATATTGCTACTGTATATGTAACACTGGGCCCTCCAAAAAATATATATCTAAATAATGGAGGTAAGTGAATTCCAGAATTTGTTTGGGATCTCTAATGTCACTAAATGACAGTTTAATAATTTTCCCTATTATTTTATTGATAAAGAATATCTTCTAAAAAAGAACCAGCTCTTATTTTTGCGGATATACGTAACCCCATAAGAAATCTCAACTTACAATAGGAGAGTTCAAGGTAATAAATGGCCCTCCACTTAGTGGTGAATAAACATATAATTTGTAGTAAAAGAAAATACTATACTCTATCACAGAACTAAATATTTCTAGAACTCTAGAAGTATATTAGTGTATACCTGAATGGCAAATAACAAGGCAATAGTTTGCTTAGTTTCAATACAAGCTCACAATGGCCATTCAACTAATGAAAATGGAGCTAGTCCTGAAAAAAATCAGTCAGAATATAAAACTGAAAATTGACAACCAAATGATGATACTACAACTACTCGCTACATGCTGGAGAAACAAACATCCTATTTATTGCTATGCCAACTATACTTTTTATTGCTACAATAATTCTTTTCAACAGAAGACAAAGATAATTTGAAAACTATAAAAAAACAACTATGTAACATGCATTAGTCAAAAGTGAAATTTAAAATGTATCTTCTAAAAATACTTAGTTGCTTCTCAAGTAATATCTAACTACCTGAGCCTCACATATCACAAGATCACTTGGGTTCGGTGTAACAGGCCATCAGATGATTCTAAGAACCAGCAGCTTAAACACCTCAACTTCACATTCATCTAAAAATAAAAAGGAAAAATAAATTAACAAAGACCCTGTTCCCTCTTTTATAGACCCTGTTCCATTCTCTCTCATAATCACTAGTTACTTAATTGCTTGGACAAGGCAATATCATAATAATATCAGCAAGGAAAGGAAATATCACAATAATATCAACATTATATAAAGAGAGAATATATATACATCAATATATATATATACATATATATAAAGGAAGCACATCAACATATGCATGACACAAATCATTTATCAATATAGTTATATATCAACATCTTTATAAATAATATTTATTTGAAATATCTAGATTCTAAGTACAGTATATGAGACACAAATATGAGAGAAATAATATAAATCTTTATGCCTAAATATCACATTTGCTTAGAAGAAACCTTCTTTTAATATTTATTAGCATCTATTCATGATTTTGTTTGATCATTTATCACAGTAAAGAGGTATGTCATCATTAAACAGGCTCAAACAATAAAAATAAAACATCAAACACATATGACTTCCTCATGCGCCTTGCATAAACTACTTCAATAAAAACGTTGCTACCAATCTAATATATGAAGAAAACATTATAGGCACACAAGTTCAAAAAATACTTGTTCAGTACCTTGTTCTCATAACCAAGTAGATAAATTTTAAGAATTACTGAGCACTAAGCTATTCCCTCTGTCAATTACAAGCATGCTGTCCTCCTGGGTAAATTAAGCTGTCTACAAGTACCAAGCAGACAGCTACTAAACAAGAGAATATATACAAAGATTTCCAAACCTGGGCTATCTGCTTAGCAGCACTTCTACTGCTATCGAAAAAGAAACTGGATATTAATAACAAAATTGAACCATACACTATCATAAATGGATGAATATTAGATCATAGTTACAGTGCATAGGGTCAGTGTCTGATAATTCTAGGAATAAGCTAATAATATAACAACATTCAACAACATAAAATGTAACCGTATCTCTTTATTGAAAATGTATTAGATGCATAATTTAAGAAAATGTGACACTGAACCTGTAAATTTGATTTATCTAAAAAGTATATGACTTCATAGTGAGTGTATTGCAGGGCTGAAAGTTTAAAGTCATTCTATGGAACTGTGGCTCTTCTTTGGTGATGTTCAGCTGGAAGACCCAGCTGAAGTGACATCCTATGAAATTTCAGCTGTGATGATATTTGGTCTGCCACATCATATCAGTTCATACCAAGATGGCTTCAACACCTTTCATGTTTAGTATATTTGAAGATGGGAAAATACCTTAATATTGTTTTAAACACTTTTCATTTGCATCAAACGATCTGCAGTCATATATAATAACAAAAACACAGCCTACTGAAAAAAAATCTGTAGTGACATCAGCATTCGCCGATCGTCTTTTTCCATTTAGCAGACGAATTCCCGCCCTGTTCCAAAGATTACAAACAAATATACTTGAGCAATATTCATTGTTCACAGGCAGAAATATTGCATATTATAATTAAAAACTCCCTTTGGTGAAAATAATTTTCAGTTGAAATAAATGCACATCCTCCGGTGGCAGATTTGAAATTTACATAAAAAAGTATTCAATGGTTTCGCATACAAATCACAAAATTGCCATTAACAGAGATATTGATATCGATACACAGAAAGACAAATAGACAGATAGATTATAAGGCCCATTATTTACCTTCACATCAGAATGCTCTTTTGGTTGATCATCCGCACTCGGACTGCTCTCAGACTCGGAAGCAGTGCTACTACTACTCATAACAGACATCGCTGACCATATCAACTCCCAGAACCGCTTTTTAACGCTTTTGTGTCTCTTCCTTCTTTTTCCTGAGTCTATTCTGTGCTAACTGCTCCTCTATACTGGATTTCCCTGCTGAGTGCATCTTTAGGGTTTCCTTTGGTGTCTAAAGGAAAGTACACTTGTTGACATCTACATACGAACAGCTGATTTGTGCGTTCGATTGTAAATTATATATGTTGATAACATATAACAACGAAATTCTGTATGTCTTTATTGTATTTCCTCTCCGAATGCTGTATCAATATATTTTTTTTCGAAGTTATGCCATCTTTATGAATATTATTTTTGAGGAAGACTCGAACGCTAAAATCAGCTGTTTCATTCATAAATTCTGGGTCATGGCCGTGATGATGCTTTATTAGAACTTCTACAGTTGTTCATTTTCAAGGTTAACACAACAAAAGACTAGCACGGTTGTGTAAGATATTACAAAATTTTCTTGTATAATTTAGAGTAAAAATGTAAGCAAAAATATTAGTATAAATAAAATGTACGCAAAGAGAGCGTGTAATATGACGTTCGTGGTTTCAGTGTTAAGTCATGAATGTTTTTTTTTTTATGCAGTATACCAATAAAATTACATGAATGCTTTCAACATCGTGAAAAAAGCGCATGTAATATACACATTTTAATCATGTTAGAATAACAATGCTTGTTTAGGCACATAATATATCCACATTACTTGTTAGCACAAATACACAAAAATTAAACGAAGTTATGTAAATAGTTCTTACGACAGAATAAGAATTCTTGAGAAATGCTACCAGACCTAAAAATACAATGATTGATCTTTTGAGAATACTATGAGTCAATTCTCCGATAAATAGATCAAGTACAAAAAAGTCTTTTAAAAATTACTACGACACCAAAAACTCATCCATTATCGAACAAATATCAAAATAATAAATTAATTACGAAGAAAAAAATAAACAACATATCAAATAGTAAAACAAATAGTCGATTTACAACCTTTTTTAGCAAAATTATAATTGAAGTAGAATATTGGACTTTGTTTACCCTGCTCCTGCTACTACTGCCTGCTTTATCACTCACTCAACGCCCTCAGGTTTGTGTGTTATTTGAGGAATTATGGTGATGTGAGGGTGTGTTCAGTAACTAACAATGTGCCTGTGATTTGCATAATATGGTGGAATATGTGCATATAACACAAGGGTTTCATTAGGTAATGTCTTGAAGGTCAAAGTAGGAAATGGGTGGCGAAAGTTATGGTTAATTGCAAGCCCTGCTGCTGGTTATTGGGTTATGGATATAATTAGGAGATGGATTGGAGTTAAGATTTTATATTTGATTGAAGGAAGATAGAAATAGTAGGGTATGTATCACGTATTAGATAATGAAATAGTTTTATTAAATTGATGGTTGATGTAGTACGCATTCTATTTTTGGAACAAAATATGGATTATATAACTACGGAAGGTTTTACATATACAATATTGATTATGGAAATCCACCAAACCATTCACATATCGAAGAGTTAAAGTTTCTGGAAGAGATTCTTTGCAGAAGAAGTGATATAAGAGTGACCTTGAAATTGTGAACCAAGAAACTAGTAAGTGGACAGTATATGTTGTTGATCTTTCTGGTGACAAACTCTTTGCAAATTCATTATATGTGAATATAACGAAGTAGTGATTTATATTTATTTTCAACATTTGTCTTTGGCTCCTTTCCAAGTTCAAAGGCTCTCCTACCCGGCCCTGTCAAACTCTATAGCACATCTGGGAAAGACCTCATTCTTGAATCTTTCACTGTAGGATGAGCTCGAAATTCAACCTTTTGCTATTATTTAAAAAAAAAATCATCATAATAATTATAGCTATTATGATAAACTATAGAAACTCTACAAACTTGATTATTATGATAAACTTTATAAACTTATAATTAGCTGTAGCTAATTATCAGTTTGTAATAGCTTTTTTACTGTTTTTCTTTTAAGGAATGTTCCTATAGCTTCCCCAGCAACAGATACACCCCATTTTATCCAATCACCGTAGACCCATAATCTTATCCTTTATTAATATCCAGTTTACTTCATTTGCACCCCATTTTTACTCTTTTCTCTTTCATACTATCCTATAACCTTTAACATTAACACTTGTTATCTTATTCGTTAACTCTATTCACCACAATACTTTACCATTGTGCTATATGACCTTAGATGTCTAGCACATTTATTCTCAATCATTAAACATTAACCATTTCCTATGATCTCTTTTTCTTTTAGTAAAGGATGTTTGTGCTAGTGCAGTAGTAGCTATGACTATTGTCTTAGTAAAAATCAACAGGAGGCCAAAGTTTTTGTTGTTTTTTAGACTGGACTAATGGGAAATTAACTCCTAAAAAGCATAATTCATCTGCCTTATTACTATTGCTATTCATGCCCAGCTTTACAAAGGAACATTTTGGTATTTGATTCTTCAAGAACTTGGTTACACTCTAGAAAAATGCATATATTTCCCTTGCAGATTTCAAATGCATACAAGGCAACAGACTGTGAAAGTTGCAGAGGAGTTCCAAAATTTGAAATAGTTACTGGCTTAGGTAGCAAGAAAGAAGGTTATTGCATATAGATAAAACACCAATAAAGCAACAGAATAAACATTTGTATGCATAAATGGTAAAAAGATGATAAGGAAAGCAAATAGGTGTGAGTATCTCAAGGAGGCAAGTTTGACACAGCTGATGTAGTCCCTGTTTGATTAGGGAAGAGTAAGGGAGGTTGGATGAAGATGCATGATGCAATATGCTACACTTTATGCTATAACTGCTCAGCCACCTACTCACGCTTCGCCCTCAAGGCGTCATTTGATTTTCCTCCAGGGTGACCCATCATTGGACCCAATCTGCTGGTCATCTCGTTCTTGCATTCTTGTCCTTGATAATCCTTGTGTGGTTCCTCCTTGTCAGCCTCTTCTTCTTGGTCCTCAGTGCATTCTCCTGTCCTTGACGTTCGCACGTCCTCGTAGGTCTTGCCTAGGTCCTCCTCAACTTCAGATTGTCCAGACTTCCTCATAGTCCTTATAAGGGTATTCATCCACATATCCTCACAGATCTCATCCAGGTCCTTCTTGGCTTCGTGCTTGACCAGACATCCTCATAAACTGTGTTTGGGTCTACGGGCGTCAGGGCAGGGGTATCCTTTCCGCCATCTTAGGGCAACTGATACCTGCAGTATGACCGGATCTATGGTTGTGACTGGAGAAATATGGCAGACAGTACTGATGCCAGATTAATGAGTTTGGACTCATTACATCAAATATATGCTAAAAGTATATGCCTTCTGAATTTTTATTGAAGCACAATTGTAGCACATCTGATCCATAATTGTTGACGTTAGATATTGATATATACGCAGAAAATAATGAAGGTAATTCTGTAGTCTTGAACCTTTTATTTCATCTAGTAACCATGGGAGGGATCTGTTTTTTCTCTGGTTTGAAGAAAAATATGGAACAAAATCATATATAAGTGGAGATTTAAAAAAATGCAAAGTAAAAATGAGAAATGCAGCCAAGATTCATATTTAGAATTAAAAATGGATAATTGAAAAAGGAAAATCTCATGCCATTCTGTGAACATAATGTTTCAAATCTTTCACAATATCATGTGCATGATATCTGACAGATCTTCTTTGCTTAAGCACCATCTCCATTTGGGCACAGCCTGACTATATACCTTACTCCTAACCTAATACTTGCTCTTATATTTGTTTCCTTGCGAAGATTTGGAAGAGCAAATGGAACCAGGCTTTGATGTTTATGAAATTATTAAAGCTGGGTAGTTTGTTCAGGCATCTGCACTCGGGTTAGGAAATTGTCGCAGGTCGATCAATTGTAAGATATCAAGAAAGTTATATTTATTTTCCTCTGCAGACATTGCTTGATCATGTTAATTTTTTTTATTAGTAAATGTACTATTTTTGATATGGTTCAGATGCATTTGGTGGGTGAACAAGTGGGTGAAGATGATAGTTAGATAGTTGGAAGGCTTGGAATGACAAATATTTGAAATACAATGATATTATTTTAATATTTTGCCTTCAGCCAATCTTAGATAGCCTGTCACATGTATCTGTGCTAAGAAAGAAGGAGAAGAAGATGATGATGATGATGATGATGATGATGATGATGATGATGATGATGATGATGATGATGATGATGATGATGATGATGATGATGATGATAAATAAAGTGTTAGGTAATTTCTATTTCTGTCAAATCACTTACTAATTTCTTTTCTCTTTCTTATAGGTTGCCTTACACCGTTAGTGCCTCCAAAAAGTAAGTATGAAAATCAGAATTATGTACATTTTTCAGTATTTTTCCTTTCTTTTGTCTCTAATTTTCTCCATTCCTTTTCTCGTCACTTGTTTTATTTCATTTTATTTATTTATCTATCTATTTTTGTGTATTTCGTATCTCCTCCTCTTCCTCTTTTTGTCTGTATTTTTTCCCTAGTCTCTCTTTCCGTGTAAGATTATTTATTTATCTTTATGTTTATTTGTTTATTTACTTTTTTATTGTATTTTTTTTGTTTTTGTTTTACATTTTTCAATATTCTCTGTCTTTTGTCTCTGATTCACACCATTCTTTTTCTTGTCACTTGTTTTTTTTATATATATATTTTTTTCTCTCTGTTACCTATCTCCTCTTTTTGTCATTTTTTTACTAGTCTGTCCCTTTTTTTTTTATGTTATTTTTTATGTTTTTATTTATCTATTTTTACTGTTTTCGTGGGATTTTACTGTTTTAATGATGATATTACAGAAGAAAATCAGTTAACTTACCCACATAAACATATCACACTCACTAAATCACTCATACACTCACACACTCATTCACTCACTGAGTCATTCACTCATTGATTCACTCACACATTCATTCATTCATTCATTCACTCACTCACTCACTCACTCACTCACTCACTCATTCATTCATTCATTCATTCATTCATTCTCTCACTCACTCACTCATTCATTCATTCATTCACTCACTCACTCACTCACTCACTCACTCACTCACTCACTCACTCATTCACTCCTGTATTCCATAACTCACTCATTCATGCATTCATTCACTCACTCACTCACCCACTCACCCATTCACTCC